CTGGCCTCCCGTCTCCCAGGCTGCCTTCCGCTGGCGCCTGAGCTCTCCCTGAAGCAGGGCCCGGTCATGCTGCCTCCCCGTGCCTGCCGGTGCCCCCGCTGCCTGCCGAGGGGAGAGGCGGCTGCCGAGGCCTGCGGAGTGGGTCCCGTCTGGTCCCTCGCTCCTCCCCTGGCCCTCGCTCCCCGCTGGAGCCGAGTGCTGACGCCCTCCCGGACACTCAGGCCAGGCCGCTCGGACCTCTGCCCACCCCGTCCCGTCTGTGGTGCCTCCTGCCCTCTCCCCCTCACGTTCGGCCTGATGACCAGCGGTCTGTCCTGAATCCTTTCCTTTGAACACCAAAGCTCAGTGAGGCGATGCGGGCGCTAGGCTGTCTGTAAAGAGGGCGAGTGGGGCGGGAGAGAGCTGGGGCTGGGCTGGACTCTCAGTGGGGCGCACATCTCAGTGGACAGGGACGGCCTCCAGCCGGCCCAGCCCCACGATGCGCATGTGGCCCTGAGGAGGGGACCCAGAGTCACCGCAAGAGACACAAGCAGCAGGACCCTGGAGAAGAGACGCTGAGGAGGCACTTGGGAGGCTGAGCGAGGCCACCCTGGGCAGGCAGGGGTGAGAGGGGGCCTGGTCCGCTCCCGCCCTCCGCTGCGCCGTCTCCACCGCATCTCTGAAGCCCGGTGGGCAGGCCGGTTCTTCTCCGTCACACACAAGGCCGAGTGCAAAGCACCCGGGGGGAATTATTTGCTCAGCAGACAACAAAATACATGGCTGTGCGTTAACCGGCCACAGGAGGGAAGGTGCCTCTCGCTCACGCGTAGATCTGTCTGTCTGCTGAAGCTGGGAAGGGGTGCGCCTTGCTGAAGCTCTCCCTGATTGTCAGTCACCCCCAATTTCTCAGATGTTCCTCCGAGCAGGAGGGGTTACTCACCCAGATGATTTGTCTTGCGCCCTCTGAAGTGTCCTGTGTAGTCCCCCCCTTCCCCCGCCTGCTGGCCCCCAGGTCCCCAGCTCTGGTCTCCGCTGCTTAGTGAGAGGAGCTGAGCCAAGAGCAGGTTCAGGAAGCGCCCGGCCTGCAGCGCCCCCTGGCTGCTGTTGCAGAGGACAGACTGGCTTCCACCCAGACCCTGGGACCCACCTGCCTTCACCCACCCAGTCTGGCCAACCTGCCTTCTTGAACTTCTCTGCACTTGGGGCCCCCATTCTCTGGGCTTCCACTTCCCAGGCAAACCCGATTTATAAACCGGGTCGGGATCCATTCATTCAAGCTCGCCGGCTCTCACACCCACCCGGGGGTAAGAGCAGAGCTCATAATGACTTAGTCTTAGGGGAAGATGACCGGGGAAGATGGAGTTTGATTTTCTGCTAATGTATTTGAAAAAGAGAAGCGGAGGAAGAAGTGGCCGAGAGACGCTGGCCAAGAAGCCAGCCTGACCAAGGCCTCTTCGCTGCTAAGTAGTTGAGCAAAGCAGCCCTGGAGATTGAGAAAATGGTGAAAAGTTGCCAGTGTGGAAAACAAAGACTGAGTAAAACCAGGGAGAAATAATAGTTACTCACCTTGACTCAACTCTGGCCATGTTCTTCTCAAAGCACAGCTCTACCCCAATGCCGTCACAGGGTGAGCCACCTCCCGGGCCTCAGTGCCAGCCTGTGAGCTGAGCAGAGCCAACTGCTCCTCCCTCAGGTTCCTCCCTCCGGCTGCGCCTCTCCACCTCCAGCCAGTCCCCTCCGGCCACTCCTTCAGTCCACCCCTCGCCTGTGGAGTGATGGAGCGTCTGCCACAGTCACTTCGCGAGCCTCCTGGTCTAGGGGCCTAGGCCACAGCCCTGAGAAACAGCCGCGTCTGCCTTACTGAGTTTAGAGTCTAATGGTGGGAAGCAGGGACGCGGTCATAGGGCAGGTGAGGAAAACTGCAGGCTGCATATTGACGGCAGGTGCATGCAGCAGGAAGGGGGGCTGGGGGTGGGGGGCTGGCAGCGCCTCTGGCTGGTGCAGCCGGGAATGAGGATTGTACCAGCAGAGGGACAGGAATGGTTCCGAGGCCACCGTTCCCCACATAGCCTTACTAGAAACGCCTTTCCCAAGCAGTGCGTTCCTGACTGCGGGCCCGCAGACCCTGTACCGCTGACCCAAGGGCCTCACATGGCCCAGGTGGGGTGATCCGTTCGAAGAGCCCTTGTTGAGCACCGACTGCACCAGGCCTTGTTCTAGATACTGGGGATAAAGTGATGCAGAGAGGAAGCCCTTGCCTTCATGGAGCTTATATTCTATGGGGGAGATGGATTCGATAGGTAATGAGATCAACAAAACATGGACAGACATCGAAGGTCTATTAGTGTCATTTCAGGGAAGTCAGGGAGGGATCCTTGAGCAGAGATGGGGAGAGGACTCCAGGCAGAGGGAACAGAGGTGGGGGTGCTCCGTGGGGGGTGCACTTCCCGTGCTGAAGGAAAATCGAGGAGGCCCGTGGGCAGGCTAGTGGGGCTGGGGCAGGGCGCAGGGCCAGGTCCTGTGAGGCCTTGCAGGCTACCCCAAGGACTTTGCATGGTTTCTGTGGTGTGACAGGAAGCCCTTGGCGGGCGAACAGGGGATGTCATGGTCTGCCCAGCAGGATCACGCTGGCTGCTGTGTGAAAAACAGACAGGGGAGGGGCAAAAGTGGGAGAAAGATAAACGAGGAGACTTGTCGGCATGTGGGAGACGGTGGCAGTGCATGAGGTGAGGGGGGTCAGTTGGGGGTGCATTTTCAGAGCACTCAACCTGGTGGTCTTGGTGGTGGACGACAGAGCGAGGGGGACCCAGGGGGGCCAGTCCACATGCGGGCTCGGGGTGGCCGGATGCTGTCAGATGCCTGGCCTCTCAGCTGATCTGTGACATGAGGTCCAGCAGCTGAGTGACGGACCTGGGGTCAGGAAGTGAGCATCAGAGGTTCTTTGATCCAGAACATCTCTACATATTACATTTCGTTAGGAAATTATGGCCAAAAGATGCTGGAAACTGCAATCTGTCCAGCATGAGGTCAATTATACTTGGGTTTCCAACAAAGCACCAAGTATATTGTTCCTGCTTAACTTCTCTAGGCAGCTTAGTAGATGTGAACTTATTTTAAAAGTCTGACAGCTGACGGGTAAAGACCACGGGCAGCCTGCCACATGTCCAAGCTGGTGGCTGGACCGCTTGTTGTCCACTTGCTTTTTCTTTGGTTGCCTGGCCAGCTGACATCCCTGATCCTACTAGACAGGATGAGGGACTTCATGGGTGATCACTAACTGGCCTCTGATTCCAGGGACCCCCAGCCCAGTTCTTCATTTGTCAGATGAGGGGTGCTCCTGGATGGTGAGCGTGTCTTTATGAGGCTTGAGTGGGCATTTTCAAGCCCTTTCCCCAAGTTCCTCCTGCAGTCAGTCCCAAGCATCCTATCACTTGGAGTGTGTCGGGAAGGGGAGGGCAGTGGACAGGAGAGACCTTGCTCCAGCTGAACTCAGGAGTGTCCCCTGTGATGCCAGTCAGCGAGCAGAGCTTTGCTGTCCCTGGCACTGCCTACTGGGCACAGTGCCGAGTCCCAGCCGTTTCTGTAGCCAAGCAAACAGAAGTGAGGATGTTGGGCAGGATGGGCTGCAGAAAAGAATGAGCCGTCACAGGGAAATTCAACCCTGTACATACTCAGCAAAGCAGTGGTGGCCGGTAGTTTCGCTTCTCTCCCCCAGCACTGGGGGTGGGGTACACCAAGCCCTTTGAGGTGCCATGAAGGAGGTGCTTCCATTGGGCAGGACAGACCCCATTTCTACTTGGAAAAGCTGACCCTGGGGTGAGGCAGTGGCACCTCCATCACAAAGCCAGACCAGTGTGCAATCTGGTTGCATAATCCAGTGCCCTCACTAAATGTAAAGGAATTACAACAGTAGTTCTAGGTCAGAGGAATGCTAGCTTAAAATTCATGTTTTTAAAAAAGCTGACTAAGGGAGCAGACATATCCCTTTTCCTTTTTCTTAGCTGGTTTATTTAGAATACCAAACTGAAGTGAAGCCCTGTCTCAAATCTCCAGCCCCTCCTGGAGGCGTGGCCCCAACCGGGTCAGGGCCTCAGGCCTTGTCCACACTCACAGCCTAGAGGCCCGAGACCAAGGGCCACTCCGGAGAGTAGGTACAGACCGCATCTCCCAGACTGCACCCCCCAGACTGCACCCCCGACCACTAACGCCACACGAGCGCTGGGAAGTGCTGCACAGGGAACGGGTTCTGCTAGCAGGTTTGGGAAACTCCAAGGGGAGCAAACTCGGATTTTATATTTTTAACCTTGAGTCTAAGGCCTTACTATGTACCTGTGCCTAGTGACTCCCCCAGAGCTGTAGCAGCCAATATCTCCCCAAGATGCCTGGGACATATGCTTTCCCCCATGGGAAATGCTGATGGACTGGGGTCTGTATGAAAGTTGGTCAAAGTTAGAGCCTCTAGGCCGGCCTGGAAACGAAGTCCCAGGACTTCAGGAGTCCGGGTGATCGAGGACTGTCCTTGCTGGGGCTGCTGGGTCCTGGGAATGTGACTTCCACATTCCAACCTGGGACACAGAGGACAGGGCTCAGCGGCGTGAGAAGCAGCGAGAAGTCAGAAAATGGCTTCACATCGCAGCATCCTGCAGAGAAACTGGGGTGTTGGGTCTGAGCGCGGAAGCACATCCTCCTGTGCTGAGGGTCGGCAGGCCACTGGTACTTTCTGAGCAGGACAGGTCAGAGTCCCCAAGGAGGGTTTCTTCGGCGCCAGTTTTGCAGGAAGAAGGGAAGACTGGGTGATTCTGAACGGAGGCCGGGGGGCAGCAGGTCACGGCACTTGGCTTATTGGTCTTCCGGTGCACCGGTATCAAATCCAGGTGCTCACTCCCACCGCCTGAAACAGGCCTGTGCGTGGGCCTGCCTTCTGCTCCTCTGCTAGCTCACAGCAGTGATCCGATGCTGTCAATTCTACCAGGAACCATCCAAACTCAGCACAGGACAATTAAATAAACTGCACCACACACTCCGTTCTTATGTACTCGTTTACTGCAGCAGAGAGAGAACCGAAGCATTTTACACATTTCAGGGCTGCAACAACTAGACAATCTTCCCAGACATTCCTGGGCCACGTTCCCCACAGTGAAAAACCTGGACAACCAGGAGGTAACATTTTAATAAGTAGAAACAGGATCAGATGCTGTCTGTAACCGCTTTAGAAATTTTTGAGAGAATAGGAATATTTCAACAACTATTGAAATGTTGCTTAAACTTTCCCAGTGAATTCCTACAGGGCAGCCTTGCCCTGGAGACTAATTAAAATGTCCTGTTAAGCTTCAAGACCTTCAGGCAAATGGAAATGGACAGTGGACAAAGGGCACACAGGTAGACTGATGGGACCCAGGTGATGAGGTCACACGTGGCTACAGGAGACACAGCTCCCCAACCAGCAGCAGTCCCCCCCAGGCATCTGACTCAGGCTCTGGCTCTGAACGCTGCTGGATGTGTGGAGGCTAGTTTCTGAATTCGGAAGAGGCCAGGACGGAAATGTGTTTCTCGCTAAGGGGATGAGAGCGAGAGCTATGTGGCTGGTGGCTGGGCTCACCTTTTCCTGACTTCCCTTCCTGTACAGGCCTGAGCAAGCCATGCAGCAAGGGCACAGATGGTCTGCACAAGGCTGAGGGCAGGGAGGGAGCGATCCGGAGGGTTCCTGGTACAAAGCCTAGTGCTACCCTTCCAGAAAGAAATGCTCCCGACACCTCCTGTATTGAGTGACTCTACAGATGCCTGTGATTCCTCAGAGTTTCCGAAATGCTGAAGTGCATAGGCCACCGTTTGGATCCCTCCGAGTGGCTGCAGAAGCCCATCCTTGGTAATCCACGGTCATCGGAGGGGCTATTCAGCTCAAAGGATGGACGGGGTAGAGAAAGCTGGAGCTGGGGGCATGGCTTACTCTCAGGGAAAAGGGGCGCTACAGCCAGCAGTGTGATGTCCTCGGACAAGTCCTCAAGGGACCGGAGGCCACAGAACTGGGGATGTTAGAGGATGAGTGCTCGCCGGCTGGTCCCCTCGTGGGGTGGGGTAGAAAAGGAGGCACATTGCTCATCTACTCCAGGAGAAGACAAACAATAGGCTGGGGCTGGAGGAAGAGATATGTAAAGACTTCCAGAGAGAAAAATACTCTATTAACCTGTTGAGCATTTTGTATGTCATCATTAAAAAAATTGTCGTGTGATCATTAAGCACCAAATCGTTTTGCAACCTTGTACTAAACCCAGTGATTTCTTTTTTCTGCTCCGGAATTACCAAAACATTCTCGCCTCACAGCAACAGGAAAGAGTGCTTCTCCCTGTTTGTTTCTGTTTTTCCCGTGCCAACAGGCTTTCAGCTCCGAGGCTCCCCCTTGTCGCTGCTCCCGCCTGGCGGCTGCTTACAGGTGAGCATGAGAAGCAGCAGCAAGGGCAGGTGCCAGAGGCTGCAGAAGAACAGCTTCCGGGAGCTCCGCCGGTCCGCGTCCCTGTGGAACCGGAAGCCGAGGTAGGAAATGTACAGGTTGATGGGCAGGGAGATGGCCGGGAAGGTCCACGTGGTGACACCCAGGACAGGGGCTGCCGAGGACAGCGCGATCAGGGCCAGGCAGTGGCGCAGGGCGACGCGCCGGCACAGGGCGGGGTGGGTGACCGACATCATGCAGTAGCCCCCTCGGGAGTAGTCCTCACGGAGGCCCCAACTCAGTGCGTTGAAGTGAGGAAACTGCCAGGAGTAGAGGATTCCCCCGAGAAGGCAGGCTCCTGTGGCGGGTAGGAGGCGAGAGGGAAGCAGAGATGTCACTAGGATTTTCACAAACGCATCGTTTTCATAAAGGCACCTCTGCCAGCTTCGCTTTCATCCCTGCTTGCCCAAGTCAGCCCAGCACCTACCAGCCTGGGTGGGGAGCCGCATGCTCGCCAGGACCTGGACCTCCTCCTAACCCCCAGCTTTCTCACCTCAGCAGGGAGGGACACTGGCACGGGGCAAGCCTGGGCTTCCTGGGGGGTTTTCCTACTGCAGGCTGTCGAGTCTGTGGCTCCTGCCCACCCAACACCCCCTGTACCCCAACACTGTGACGACGAGAGAAGCCTGGATGCACTGCACACGTTTAGGGCTCTGCCCACATGCTGGCCTGGCCAGAGGAGCCTCAGCAGCTGGAAGGACACTCCACACCCACTGGCCCCCTCGACAAGGCCCTCCCAGGGGTGCTGGCGGCTCCCTGCTCAGCACTAACAGAAAGGAGCCCAGCTCCCGGCCCACACAAGACACCTCCTAGGCTTCTGTCTGTGACTGAGGGACTGTTTCAGCAGGTGTCTACGGGACTTCGGGGCGGGTGCCCAGCTCGCCCTCCAGAGCCCAGAGCCTGCACGCTGCGGCAGGCAGGAGGTACTAAACCAGTGCCTTAGATGGACGGACTGGCATAAAGGCAGCAGAGCAATAACTTCGTGGCTTTACAGTGTTTCAACAAGGACCCGTTACTGCCTGAGCACAGGGACTGAGCACTATTGTGTGATGGAGACTTTACAGTTTACCCGTTAGTCCTGGTGACAGACCTGCAGGCAGGTTTACACTCAATAAACAAACAGGCCACTGACAGTTCTCCGGAGATGAAGGAGGGTTTCGGAGGAGCCCATCTCAGGGTAAAGGGGCCCCGCAGGACACTGAGCCACCGCCCACAGGTCAGCCAGCAGCAGGGGCTCTGTCCCCACTGAGCAGGAGACTGGTCACTCTCTCACTCAGGCACACGTTTCCGAGCCACGGAGTGGCCAGCAGGCTTGGCACGGGGGATGCACCCTGCGCTGAGCTGTGTGTGTCCCCAGGCACTGAGCTCGTGTCACTCCTCAGGCCAGGCCAGTGAGCCTTCCTCACCCTCAGTGCTGTGCAAGAAGCCACGCAGGGAGGGCCCGCAGCAGAGCGCTGACCTGGCCCAGGGGAGGCGGCACGTTCTGCGAAAGGGGCGCCTGAGCTGAGCTCCCCCGGAGAAGTAAGGGAGCCCAGAGAGGGTCTGCAGAGGCCCTGGGGGGGAAGGCGAGCGGCGTGCTCAGGTATTGAAAGAACACTATACATGTGGTAGGATTCTTAGAGCTGTAGAGCGAAAGGAAAACAGGTCAGTTTTATTGCATGATAACTGAATACAACAGCAGGAAGGAAGGCTGGTGTGGCCAAGGGCAGGGAACAGGGAAGACCGCCCAGGATCCCGCTGGAGGGGCGGAGAGCAGGGCCGGCCCCGACCTGCAGGTGCGAGGCCAGCTCTGCCCTCAAAGCAACAGGACGACACGGAAGGAGCGTAGCGTGTGGGCGTGTGAGGGTGTGCAGGTGGGGGTGCCGAGGAAGATCACACTGGGGGGGCCCACAGCAGGTCTGGAGGGTCTCTGAGGAGATGAGATGAAAGGGGGGGCAGTGAGACAGAGGGAGTGAGGAGGCGAAGTGACAGGACCTGTGCTGTCAATCAGGATAAGGGGAGGGGGGTGCCAGGGCAGCCCCTGGGTGTGGGGTCCTGGCAATGCCACTGAGGGGACACACGGGAGAGGGGAGGGCGGTTCACGGAGGTGACCCTGGGTGTACTGGGTCTGACATCAGGGGCAGTGGGAACCAGCAGCTGGGAGGGGTCTGGGCTATGACATGACCTATTGCCGAGTGGACCATGGTGGCCAATCGTGAATGATTCGTTCCTAACAGAATGCGGACAAGTCCTGAAGGGTATGTTCATTTTCCTTTGTATCGTGAGAGGGTAGAATATAGAAAGTACCCAATACTCCTGTAAGAGAGGCTTCAGACTCATCAGTGGAAGCCACATGTAAAAAGAATAGCTTCCTTTAATTTTTATTTTTAAATTGATCTTTAGAAAGAGGAGGCGGCGCTGGGGGGGGGAAAAACACTGATGTGAGAGAAGCAGCGATGGGCTGCCTGCTGCACACACCCAGGCTGGGCACCAAGCCTGCAAACTAGGTGTGTGCCCTGGCCTGGGACTGAGCCCCCAGCTCTTGGTGTGCAGGCGGTGCTCCAGCTGAGCCACAGCGGCCAGGGCCAATAAAGCATTTTATTTTATTTTTTATTTATTTGCTTTTGACCCTCACCAAGGATACTGTCTCCAATGCTTTTCAGAGAGAGTGGAGGGGAGAGGGAGAGAAATGTCAATGTGAGAGAGAGACATCAATTGGTTGCCTCCCAACTGCAGCCAGGGATTGAGCCTGCAACTGAGGTATGTGCCCTTTGCCAGAATAGAGCCCTGGACCTTTCAGTCCACAGGCCGACGACGCTCTAATCACTGAGCGAAACTGGCTAGGGCTATTTGTGTGTGTGTGTTTTTTATGCTGCATTGTATGAGCTCTTTATATGTTTTGGATATGAATCCCTTGTGGAATATATCATTTGCAAATTTCTTCTTCCATATAATAGGTTGCCTTTTCATTTTGTTGATGGTTTCCGTCATTGTGCAAAAGCATTTTAGTCTGATGTAGTCCCATTGGTTTATTTTTGCTTTTGTAGTTCTTGCCAAGGAGACACATCCAAAAAAATATTGCTGTGATTGATGTCAGAGAGTTTACTGCCTATGTTTGCTTTTAGGAGTTTTATGGTTTTTAGGCTTTACATTTAAGTCTTTAATCCATTTTGAGGTTTTTTTGTTTTTTTTTAAAATATATCTTTATTGATTTCAGAGAGAGGAAAGGAGAGGGAGAGATAGAAACATCAATGATGAGAAAATCATTGATCGAGCCCGCAACTCGGGCATGTGCCCCAACTGGGAATCGAACCCTGATCGCCTGGATCCTAGGTCGATGCTCTACCGCTGAGCCACTCCCGGCCCGGCCATTTTGAGTTTATTTTTGTATATGGTGTAAGAAGGTGTCCAGCTAGCTTAGCTTAGCTTTGCTTTGTTTTCCTTTCTTTTTGCATGTATCTGTTCAGTTTCCCTGACATCATTTATTGAAGAGACTATCTTTTCTCCATTGTCCAGTCCTGCTTCCTTTGTCATAGAGTAATTGGCTATATAACTGGGTTAATTTCTGGGATTTCTATTCAGTTCTATTGATATGTGTCTGGTTTTGTGCCAGCACTATACTGTTTTGATTACTATAGCTTTGTAGTATAGTTTGAAATCAGGANGAGAGAGAGAGAGAGAGAGAGAGAGAGGGAGAGAGGGAGAGAGGGAGAGAGGGAGGGGGAGAGAAAAACATGGATGTGAGAGAGACACATGGATTCGTTGCCTCCTGCATGCACCCAGACTGGGGATCGAGCCAGCAACTGAGGTCTGTGTCCCTGACCAAACTGAACCCAGGACCCTTCATTCCGTGGGCTGACACTCTAACCAGTGAGCCGTACAGGCCTGGGCAATAAAGCTTTTTTAAAAGAAAGTGCATACATTGTGTTTTTAGACATAACACTAATGTGCTTCTCTGGACAGTTAGTAGTTTTGGGAAATTAGGAGGCGCAGAGGGCAGGTCATACCATCCAGGTACAACCAAGCAGTAAACAGGTGACAGAAGGAGACTGCTCCTTATATTCTGATGGGAAAAATGACCTCTGGGTTTTAAAGGGGCCAGTGAAGAGAAAGTGCTGTTAGAGCTTCTCTAGGCATAGGGTCACTGTGAGGCTTTTGAGCACAAAGTCTGTGGAATTGCCCCCCGAGCTCACACACAGGCTCCCCTCCAGGTTTAATGCCTCCCCCACCCCAGCTCATGCAGTCTTCCCTCCAGGTTTAACACCCCCCCATCCCGCCAAGCTCATGCACAGTCTCCCCTCCAGGTTTGCAGTCACGACAGCCATAGCACAGGGGGATGCTGGCTGGACTAAGATGTGTCCAGTCAAGAAAAACAATGTCTGTGATAACTTAGAAGCGGGGCAGGGATTGGAGAAGTCCAAGTGCAGTATCTGTTTTGTTATCGAATGGCTGAGAAAGGGCAAACTCGGTTGGGAAACCAGACTTGAAATGGTTAAAACATCAGGCCCAGATGGATTTTTCTTGTCTTTCTCAAAAGCCCTCTTCTTAGTGTGCCAACTGGAGGATTCTGTTTTGCTCAATATACATTTTTCAGTTATGCTTCTGCTTAAAATAACAATTTAAAAAATCATTTTCCTAAGAGTAGCACGCTGCTTTCTATGGGAGAGGAAATTGGGTACGGGTTTGGCTCATGTCACAAATGAAAGCGCCTTAGAAATCTCAGCTTAGCCTTAATGGACTGTAATCAGAAAACCGTCGCCCCCACAGTTCTACCTGAGGGGCTGCAACTGCCTGGGCTCATCTACAAGATGGAAAACAAATTACTCTCTTCACCAAGATAAGGTGGACTAGGAAGGAAGAACTTGAATTAGTCCGGGGACTGTGGGGACCCACCTTCCTTGTGCAGAGAACATAAAGCACTCAGTTTACTAATTCAAGGGCCTCCCCAGCCTCGTGCCCCAGAGCAGTCTATTTTATTGGGCTGATCTTCTGTAACAACAGATACTCATGGGCGCCCACTACGGGATGGGTGCCGTCTGCTCCCTAGGCCTCAGCTGGAGTTGGGGGTTACAGCCCAGGTGGGGAGCACACAGGAGGAAGGCCAATATCAGCCTAGGAGAAGTCAGGGAAGGCTTCCTGAAAGAATCAATTTGTAAACCGAGGTCTGAAGATGGTCTGGGAGTTTCGACGCATTCACACAAACTCTGCGCTTTCTGCTATTAAATGCACTTTCCTACCTAACAGCAGAATCTTTGTACATGTTTGGCTTAACTGTATCTGGAAGAAATGTCTGCTTCCTTTATTTTAATCAAGTATTTA